TCCTGCTTATTGAAGAGGCTGTAGATTCTCTCAGTACTTGCTTTACATTCCTGATAATGTTCTCACCATAAAACAAACTAGTGGGTGTTGATAGGGCTTCTTCTAAGGGTAAACTAGTGGTTTATATGTGAATCTTTTCGTTAAAGTGTGAGAAAGAGAGAGAGAACCAGACGATTCAGTAGCACACGACGGGTTTGCAACAAGGCACAGCACAACCAGAACACGAAGCCCGGACCAGTGGACCTTTGGTTTTAAGTGATTTTGACTTTGTGTGGGTGCTGGAAGGACAGACTGCGAGCAGAAGGAGCTGTGCTGCAGTCAACTGTTTGCATGTTGAATTACAGTATTTGTCCTAATGGAGCAGGACTCTACTAATCTGATAAAATCCTGTCTGAGCCAAATCTCTGCCTGCAGACACAATATGCTTCAGTCGGGTTGTTTTAGGTTGGTCTGCTCACCATCGTGAACCAGACCTGCGTCTCATGGAGCTCACTGGGATGATAAACTCTGTTGGACCGGCTGGGAGGAGAGCCAGAACTACTTTTGTGACTAGTTTTGACACTTGTAGAATTACTGCTGACACAATTAGCTGATTAACTAAATGAATCAACTATTTTGACATTAGATTAATAATTTCAGCCATTTATGAATCAAACACAATAAAGAAACAGCTTCCTGAATTCTTTTTTAATCTGATGGATTAACTGAATAACTTGTTTTTAGATTGTTGGTCAGACAGAACCGCCAATCAAAGAAATAAACTTTTCATTATATTCTGACGTTTAATAGAAGAATCAATTTGTTGGCTGAAAAGATTAATGGAATAATAACAACAACCATGATAATAATTTAGTTGCAGTGGCATTTAGGAATTCAAATTCCTCTTCATGCAGGTTTAAATTCACAAAAACAATTCTCACACAAACACAGGGGAATTCCCTGTTGGTGCTGTCATGGGGAATCACCTCATCATAGGAGATGTTGCTGAGTCATGTATAAGGAGGGAGGAGAGAGGTGAAATAAAAGGAGAGACGTATTTGTGCTGATGTGTGTTTGGATTACAGCTTCATTTTAGAATCAAGATTAGAAGATGAGATAGAAGTTACATAACGTGCTTCAGCTTTTAAAAAGATCAAAGTCGATGTTAGTTAAGATGAGGATTTGGGTTTAGCAGTCAAATACGTGCTGTCGCCCTCTGGTGCAGCAACAGGTAACTGAAACTATTTGTCACCTGTAGTACAGATGACATAGTGGGAAGTTCAGTGGAAGGCAGTCTGCGCTTATCTGATTCAGACACCTCAAAACAGACAAAGCGTAGCTTTCATCTCTCTTTCTCACACACACACACACACACTCTGTACGTGGTTGGTCTGGTCCACCAGGAGCCAGACAGCTGCTGATAGTTTCAGTGTCATCAGATTATTCCGGCACCCGGCCCTATTCCTGGACTGATAACATCGTTACCAACATCACACAATCATTATCACATTATCGGGGTGGCACAGCCGCTTTCAGACCCCGCCCCCCGGATTTCTTGAGGTCACTTCTGTGACCCTTCCTTTTTTCCTGTCGTCCTGCTCTTTTCTACTATCCACTTCAAACCGTAGCGGTATTTTACAGTAGCGAGGTCCGATTTACAAATAAATGACTGCGTTTTTGCTTCCATGAGCTCCATGCTGGTATCATTGTACCTAGACAAAAGACCTTTAAACACATTTAGGAACACAGCATGATGTAATTCTTCACTTCTTTCCTGATTGATCCAACTCTCTACAGCTTGGAGGAAAGTGGAAAATGCTAAACAAATCCAAGGAGCCTTATTAAAATACCTGGTACAGAACAGTAAAATGTGGAAACCATCAAGCATCAAGCTGTTTTCATGGATGTTAGGTTTGGTATTTTGCTGTGAGGAACGTATGAACTGTGCGTACTGCGACAGGACCAACTATGTTGAAAATCCGGTTTCAGGGTTTCAGCTGGTGCACCAGGTAACGCCGACAGGGACTTTAAACACAGCTGGACATTTTCCCTACATATGGTCTGTAGTAAGGAGATGGGCAGCGGCACAGTGACACAGCGTTTCCCCCACAAGCTGAAATAAAAGCTGAAACAGGAAGAACGAAACCTGTGAGGACTTTAGGTGACGTAGAAAAGCTGCTGCAGGTCGGTGCGACAGGAGGTTAACAGGCCCTGTGCTTGGTAGCTAAAGTTAGACTGACAGTGTGCAGCCGTTTCCTGCTGTGTTTGCTCTGCCTCTGTTTGACAGTACAACAGCACTCCCATATCACAGCTAATAAAGAGAGGAGACTACAGTGTCACAGTAACAGGATTCATTTATTTACCAGGACCAATGTTTACACTTCAATGTCAATGTGAGTGCGCTAATAAGCTCATTTTCAGCCGTAGTCTCTGGGCAGGCTGCAACAAATGAGTGTCTGATTTCTAATTCTAATTGTTGGCGGTGTCACATTCAACAATAGCAGTCACAATCACAGTCAGATAGACAGTACACAGTTAAACAGTTATACTGGCACTCCTCTATGTGCAGTTGCCTAATTATCTCTAACAACCTGGCATGTTAATGACAGCTAACCGGTCTGAGAGGGCGGACTGCTCCCGACTGAAGGCTACCATCACAGTCAGCTGACTTTAAACACATGAAGAATGACCTCAGATGTTAAGATTCACAGAAAGCTAAAGAGCAGAGAGTTTGTTTTAATGCATCCATCCATCGTCTATACCTGATTATCCTGTTGATGATCACGAGGAGCTGCAGCCTGTCCCAGCATGCACTGGCTGGGAGCCAGTGTACATTGTGTACCGCTCCCAAGACCATCACAACAAATGTTTGTACTATGAATCGTTTCTAAAATGAAACCAGTTCAAAATAAACCACATTTCTTTTTCTTTTTTTTAACAAAAACGCATCTTAAATGGACTTAAATTAATAATTACAAGTTAAAGCAAGGTGTGGGCCTCCTGCACTTCTGTCTACTGCTGGTCAGACATGCTGTTCTCTCTGTTCTCTACATTAACAGATATATACAGATTGCAGGTTACCAGCTGTAAATGGGCCCGAGAATCAGCCAAGGTAAGGTAAAAAGGTAAAAACTAATAGAAAAATGAGTCACAAACTATCAGGTCATGGAGCGCCAATCTATATTGGGCATGTTTCAGTGTTTGCCTGTAATCATGGCACATTTGTGCTGCGGCAGGAGTCATTGTGTTGGTTTATAGAACGTACAGGAACTCCCCAGAGTCTGGGCCTTAAAGTGAACCTTCAGGTTTCTGCTGTGAATGAGCACATTAACAGTACTGTCCCACTGTCACAGCCAGCACAGCTACACGCACGCGCTGTTTGTCGTTGATAACGATCAGTCACAAACCTGTAGGCGGCCCCGGCCCCGGCCCCGGCCC